TGGCTCGTCCCCAAAATAATTTTCCCCTAAGATTCAATGTAAATTTGGTTAAACCGTTTTGAAACATATGTGTTTTTTTTTTTAAACCACAAAAGTATTAAACAAAATACAGTACAGTGCAGTACAAAGAGAGAGAACGCTAACCTTGCTCAAGGGGACTTCTGGCGTGGAGGACAGGAAGGTGGGTGGGGAAGCAGTTATTGCTTGGAGGGAGAGTCCCCCTCCCTACAGGAAGCCACGACCACGTGTCACGGCAGGGAAAATGGCCGCGGATCCTGTTCGTCACCCGATGCAGAGTTCGCGGACGGAAGCAAAATTTTGCGAATGGTGCTGTTCGTGACCTGAATTGGTCGTGAACAGAAGCATTCGTGACCCGAGGTACCACTGTACATTTATATTTCAACCTCTCTCTCTGAGGTCACATCATGACTCTCTTCTTTCTATAGTCTATCTGGTCTAATCATCAACACCATAAATCACAATTTTATTTTATTTTTTTACACAAAAAGTCCATAGGGAGTTTCCTGAAAATCCATTTCTGTGTGTCCCCCTGAATGCCCCCGTCCCCTCCTAAGTTAAAATTGTCTCCACACATGAAGGCCCCTGGATCCATTACTACACCTGGATTCTGGTGGAATATTCCTAAGCTTTCAAACTTTCTTAAGGCAGAAAGAATTTTTTTTCTAGCTAAAGCTGCATATCAAGTTTTCTTTAATTACAAAACTTGTCCATCATCAGTGGAGGTCAGCAAGATGAGCTGGCCATCTGTGTGGTATTTCGTTGTTGTCTCCCAGTTTTCTGACCATGGTAATGTGGTGTGATACACAGCCTGCTTTCCAAACAAGGCTGTAGTTCATAACATGGAGTTGCTGCCAAAGTATATAACTGGTGGCCACACATAGTCCACCCTGGCTTCGGACAAAATGAATTAACGTCGTCTAATGAATTGAAATGTATATCAAAGACTAGATTCAGCAACTAATGCACTTTCTCATTTAATTTAACAAGTTGGTTGGAGTATTAGACTCCGTGATTGAATGCATTAGTACAGCAGCATTTAATATATTTGAATTTTAAACCCTGCATCAATCCCCAGTTTGATACATGTGAGGAAATACTGGCTTTTGTAGACAAACGGAAAATCCCATGGTATCTCTAAGAAAACAGCTGGTTTTGGAGAGAAGATCTCTGAAATTAATTTGGATTTTGCAGTCTCCCATCCAGCCGTTGCTGGACCCCAATCTGTTGAACTTCAAGAAGGTGATTGCTTCATGACCCTAAAACTTGGATATCATTGTTTCAGATAAAAAATATTTATTTGCTGCTTGGTTAAGATTTTGGCCTGGCACTGGAGACACAGACCCAAGTTCTAGTCTGCCCTTAACCACAGAAGCTCACTGGGTGACTGAGTCAGTCTCTCTCTCTCTTAGCCCAACCTACCTTACAGCATTGTTGCTGCAGGGAAAAATAGGAGAAAGTGGTAGGTATACCCTCTTGAGTTCTTAAGTGAAAGAAGGGATATAAATCTAATAAATATATAAAATATGAAACATGAAAATGCAAACAAGAGGAAAAAACTGCATTTATGTACATTAGAAAGTTGTAGAGTTTTGAATCTCCTGTAATTCGGAGACTGCTACTTTATGAAACTCAAATTTTATTCAATTTGGTTGGGCTTTTTTTTTTTTTAATTCTTAGGTTATTAAGCACTGTTTCCAAGTATGTGGACAATGACTGCAAAAGGTCAGAAGCCAGTGTCATGGTGAGGCCTGTAGTCCTCTGCATAGCTCATTAGTATGTTCCATGGCTACCAGGTTTCCTTACATTGTGCAGAATTGTGCAAATTAGCTTTACTTATACAGGTTTTATTGATAACATGGAATTTGCACCACCCAAGGCACAGAATTTAAATGTCATAGAATGAAGTCCATATCTGACTCTTAAAATGGGATTAGAAAGGTACTGTGGAGTCCTTGGGGTTCTCTGAGCTTGTTTATTGCAACATCTACACACTATTCAAGAGAGACAATAAAAAGGAAACAAAAAGACGAGAACATCTGCTTGCCAGCAATCATCATCCAGATAAGCAGAGATTAACACCAGACAAACAGTCAAGCAGTCAACAATACCCTAATCTTAGAACTACTAAGGAAAAAAACCCGACCCCCACCAACACTGGCAGGGCAAGCTACTGTATATAAACAGAGGGCAAAGCCCACTCCATTCTAGTACTGAAGATGTTACCTAGCTGGGTAATAAAACATTTGCAAGAAAACAACCAAGCTCAGAGAACCCCAAGGACTCCACAACCCTGAGCTACATATATTCTCTTCTATTGGTTAGAATAGTACCCTGGAGATGATGGAAATTATAAATCAGGCTCTTTGTTCCTTCAAGGTTTTTGCAAGCTGTTGATTTCTCTTTCAGTACTCCTGAGCATAGACATTATTGACTGGGTAGCTCATGTTAGTATGAGACGTTGGCACCCTATGCAGCTATCTCAGCTATCCAAAGCCTGGTGCTGCAGCTATTTGGCTTTTGTTGACATGTTAAGAGTATTCAGATGACAAAACTGCAATGGCAGTAGAATCCACAACTGGGTGAATTGCTATCAAGGCTTATACTTGTAGCCTAATGTTAACGCATAGGTCAGCCACCTTCATATCTAATTTGTCCTCTTAGCCAATGAATGCTTCAGTCACCTGTGTGTTCTAGCTGCTCATCATCTTGTATGAATATATCCAGTCTATTTCCAGAGGATCACAACAAAAAATAGCCTTCCTCCCATTGGATAGGTCATTTGGTTCTGGTCCATTCTTGACCCTGCCCACCATCTTCAGCATGATTCTTCTCCTTGATCCTCTGCTCTGCGTAAACTATACCAACCCTCTTCTGGATGCACCTCAAATCAGAAATGACTCCCCGTTTTAGAGTATGGCTGCCTCCAAGATATTTTACTGCCTTCTCAGGCTGATTTTAGTCCAGAAGATTGACTGCCTTTTATTAACGTAAAACTAATTGCCTCATCCTACCTGTTTTTAATACTGAGATTAGTATTATTCAGTCTCAGGTTTGTATGTATATGAGGGATGAATTTGAATTCATGTGGTAATTCAGTTCCTTGTGTATTGGGAGTAGGTCATCTCACCGCAGCGGATTCCTGCTACTGTAGCTCCGTCACTACTGATGTCCCCAATGGTATTTAGTCAGAGTGCCCCACTGCTGCCGAAACCAAGTGAAAGTGGATGGCTGCCAGTTGTGAATCAAGAGAGTACTTCTGGGTCAGCAAACCTTCTTCTCCCTCTGCAGAATTCTGAAGCAGCCATCCCAAACAGCAACCCACTAACAAAGTTACAGCTACAGGAAACGCTTCTGCATCTGATCCAGGTAGGCCATCCATATTTCTTAGCCACCTATACTTTTTCTTGATTATTGTGTTTGTACATATGAGATAAAAAGATTTGGAGTGAATTTTCACCAGAAAGCAAATTTTATTTATTTATTTATTTATTTATTGCAGAAGGTCTACAATGTAGTCTTCTTATTGCTATTGTTAGGTGCTACAGTGGAATTACAGCGCAAATATAACATTGCAGTTATACAGTGCAATTATAAGACTGTTGCTGTTAATTCAGAAATTCTTCATATTCTGAAATTGACCCATGCTTTTGGAAAACCACATTATAATCATGCTAGCAGGAACATTTTGGCGGATATGCTCCACCCCCTACCCAAATTATTGCCTATAGTTCTTATGACAGTAACTAGAATCTCTCCCAAACTTGATGTAAGCTATCTTTTGTCTGTGATAGCTTCATTAATATATATTCCTATTATCTGTTCTATGAGGCTAGCTAGAAAACGTCATTTGATTGGCCCTTGACTGTTCAGTGAGCTTTATAAATGAGAAGTAGGATTTCCTAGCACTAGCCTTAGAGCAGGGGAATTCTGGGAGTTGAAGTCCACCCATCTTAAAGTTGCCAAGATTGAGGAACCCTGCCTTAGACTACCCATTTGGGTGTCCATTGGTACTAATGTGTCCATGAACACTTCTCATGATGCTTGCATGGCTTTCTGACAGTCCTGTTCTGTTCTGTTCTGTTCTGTTCTGTTCTGTTCTGTTCTATTCTATTCATAAATGAAAAGCTAGCATTCTGAAAATAAAGCACCATCATCTAGAATCATGAGCTCATAGGCTTTCCTTTAAAAACAATTTTTTCAGACAATCTTAGAAAATAAAAATGCTAAGAAATCTTTGCCCTAGAGCTTTTATATCTGGGCTGCAAAATTTTTGATGACCACTACATGGTGGTAGCAGAGAGATATATAACATTCTAACTGAAATCTGGATTTTTGCAGCCTAGATATAATGGCCATATTACTACCCAGTGTTTTATTTGAGAGCATGTCTACATATTTTGTGAGATCCAACTTGGGGAGAAAAATCACATGGCTTATTTGTTGGTTCTTTGTGTGTGTGTGTGTATGCTGTATGTGTGTCCTTGTTTGCCAGTTGTTGGGGTTTTTTTTAGCATCTGTGAATATGTATGTGTATTTTAGGTAATTTGTTTTGTTTTTCATGGAGTGCCTGTTTGACCTGTTTTCTGTGCATATGCAGATGTGTGTGAGGGCTGCAAAAATCCTAATCCCCCAAAGTTTTAAAAAAAGTGACATTTTGATTTCCTTGGGATTCTTTTCAATGTATGTGTTTGTTTCCAGAATGACGACAACTTCCTAAACATCATCTACGATGCTTATCTTGGCAGCGTGAGAAAAGTGGCACTGAAAAAACCCATCTGAAGCATGACATTTTAATTAAACGTAGCCTGGTTTTTGTGTTTGGAACAGTAACACAGAGGAAGGCATTTTTAACCTCCTGCGAGACTTTAAATGATGTTCATTGGAAGCATATATTGTACTAAGAAACTAGTACACGGGATTCATAGTGCCTTCCTGAGGGTTTGATGACGTGTGAAGATAAGATCAAAATATCTTATATCATGATTCCTTTTTTTAAAAAAAGAAGAAGTGTAGATGTTCACAGGAGCCACCCCTTCCATCAAAATGACAAAAGCAGCATGATGATGTCGTGATGCAAGTTCCTCCCTTTTCGTGCGTGCCTACACCATGATGCGTGTACCCAAGGCGTGGAGCTTGTGTGTGTTGCATCCGTGCACTTCTGCTTTTGTCTTCTTTTTTTTTTTTTTGTCTTTTTTGCCTCCCACCTGAATGCCACTGCGTTGCTGATATGCTGGCTCGCATAAAGATTGATCTGATTGCTTTGGTTTTTCCAGTCTTTGGTGACGTGTGTTTTTAAATGCATAACGGCTCTTAATTACGTGGGCACTGAAGAGCCCTGCATGCTTCGAAAACTATTTCAGAGAAGTGCTTCAAGCTTCACGTGAACGCAGCACCTCCTTGCTATTTGATAAAGCTGTTTCATTTTTTTTCCCAGGCTTCTGCGAGAGCAGGACAAAGGCATGATGCTTTAAGGAAACCACTCATCAGCTCTTAAAGCAGCAGCGCCTTTTTTTCTGGCTTAGACAGAAGACTGAAAAAAAAGGAGATGCTCAATGAATAGGAGAGAGTTGCTTGGTTGCACAAGGTTGGAAGCCTTCTTCATTTTTGGAATGTGTGCAGCCCTGGAATTTTGCTGGGAGTTCTACTTTGAGCTATTTAGAAAGAATAATACTCTTTATTGGCCACCGGGTGGCAGAATAGCTCTGTTGTTTTGAAATATGTAGCCCTGTGAAGTCCATTTTAAGCAGGTGATTTCTACAGTTATATGAGAGATCTGCCCTGGTTTTTCTCTATCATCTCAGCGGCCAGCAAGTTGTTCAGAAAACAGCAAAGCTTACTTGATCCCGCATGATTTCATGAAGGTAGGGTACCAAATCTGGATGATCACAAGAGGGCAGCAAACAGTTTCATAAAACTTTAACTCTTTGATACTGTGTAGTGGTTATTTGGACTTTTGTGCCCCAAATCTGTTAGCTCTAGTAAAGGAAATGAGTGCATACAATCCAGCAGCCTTCTTAACACATCTGGAGAACTCTAGGCTAAACTCTAGGCAATTCTTTCTGTCATATCACTTCAGTGTTTCATAAACAAACACCATCTGGCCCCATCCCCTGGAACTTGCTAACTTAACTGGAGAATGATTTTCATGTTTTTAAAATGGCGTTCATACTATGAGTTAGAAATGGCAGCGGGGAGAAGGTTTAGGGCTATCAGGTACAGGCATCAGGAAAGAGATACGGAAAACTTGAATGGATTTTTCAGCCCAGATCTGAGAGCCATAAGAAGATTAGAGTAAGGTTTATTGCTGTAATAAATGTATATCCCATGAGTCCAAGGGGCTGTAGATATTTATGTCAGTTATTCTGTGTTTTATGGGAGCTCATCGGTTGCTAAAGTATCTGAAAGAGGGAGCCAGTTAAGAGAAATACAGAATTCCCATGTCAACTATGGGGTTTGGTTAAGACACCGTTTGGATTATGTTAACTGCAATGAAACCCAAATTTATCCACAGTCTACAAACTATGAAAGATGTAAGATTGTCCTCTTTTTTAAAAAAAGAAATTGTAAGTAAGTCTTTTCTATTTTGTGATGACATTATAAAACTATACTTGTTCGAAGTAATCTTTTGTTTCCAGCTGTTCTTACCTTGTGATATATAACCTTCCCCAAGCTGCTGCTTTCCATTTGTGTTAAATTATAATTCCCAAACTTCCCATCCTGTACGGGGATGTAAAGGTTGTAGTCAAATATATCCGGAGGAACTGTGAGGTAGACTGATGTAGAAATAGGCCAACTCCTGTTTGAGATTCTTTTAAGGGATGGCTGTATTGTTTTAAATTATTCTATTAAAACCAGGACAAAGAATGAGTCTGTTTCACTATGTTGTTCCATGAACAGATGGGCAATAGTTTCGGTGATCTATTTGTAAAAAAAAAAATAAAACGAAGAACACATACTTTTGATTCATCTTATTTCTGCATCGTGCTTTTTGAGATCTGCCATTTTAAGTACTGAATTTAATTTTCTTTAAATATTCTAAGATATAAGTTCAACACACAAAGGATAAGGTGTTACCCAGTTTAGTACATAGTTTACTTTTGGGGGGGTTTTAGTTCCTTCGAGTCAGTCTTGACTCCTGGCAACTGCCTGAACTAGTCCCTTCAGTTTTCCTGGCAAGATTTCAGAAGTGGTTTGCCATTGCCTGCTTCCTAGGGCTGACAGAAAGTGACCGGCCCAAGGTCACCCAGCTGGCTTTGTGCCTAAGGTGGGAGTAGAACTCACAGTCTCCCAATTTCTAGCCTGATGCTTTGACCGCAACATCAGACTGGCTCTATAGTTTACTTTAGACGTATCTAAAACCTGAAATCAATTATTCATCTGCTTGTCAGTTGTAAATTATTTATTTACCGAGATGAATGGAAGTTCACTATTAGAAAAAGAAGCTTATTCTTTCTGAACTGAGTGACTATTAAGGACAGGTTTTGTTAGTTCCTAGATCTCAGAAATTGCACCCAGGTAAGAATGGGGGAGGGGGGGGAATGACAGAGAAGATAACAGGTGTGCTGTTCCATAGGGCAGCAACCACAACAGAGAAGTCTTGGGCACTGCATTTTAGGAAGGTCATTGACAAACAGCAGAACAAACAAAATGATAAGGGGCCTTGAAGGAAAAACTTAGGAGGAAAGTTGGGAAGTCGTAGGTAGGTTCAGCTTGAAGAAGAAAAAACTGCAGTGATAGCATTATGGACAGAGCAGAATTATTCAGTCATTTTAGAAGACAGGACATGAAACAATTGGTTTAAATTGCAAGGAAGCAGATTCGGGTTGGAGAGCTGAAAAAAACCTGAAGGTAAGAGGGTCACAACACTGAGCTACATGCTTTTTAATACTTAAGCAAATGGAATATATGATCTAATCTCTTTCATTCGGAGAAATGAACCTATGAATTAAACCTCAACAACAGCAATGGAATAGACTGCCTAGGGAGGTGGTAGATTCTCAGCTGGAGGTTTTTAAACAAGAGGCTGGATGGGCATCTGTGGGGGCTGCTGGCTTCATGCCCTGGGTAGGCGTTTGGATTAAATAATCTAAAACACCTTCCAACATATACATCTATGAGATAAATCTTGTCAGTAACTTTGAATTCACTGATGCTGTCAACTTCCCATGAAACTGTTGGCTGAAATAGTTAGGAATGGACAATTCACAGCAAGTACAGAGCCACAGGTACCCTATTACTGCTAAACGGTCTTGTCTTGGGCATTGTGCATATCAACGAGGAATTTTAATGTTTACCATAGACTTTAAATTATCAGTCAGATGATACTTGCAAGTGATCCCTACGGCATTCTATCAGCAAGCACCAATTTTACAGTATGGTTAGAAGGCAAGGGAAAGACCTAATGGTGGTCCCATTAAATTATGGTTTCATGAATAAACCTGACTGCTCTTTAGAGCTCCCTGCAAGGAGATACATCCCTTTTACTGTGAAGTAGATTGAAGGTGTCATCTCATGTTTTTCATTCAGTTTGACGTTATGTCCAAATCTTGATAAAGTGTAAATGGACTTAACTCTGGTTTACTGAAACAGGACTATTTCAAACCTTGTTTTCCTGATCTGCTTATCTCAATAAATCACAGTTATGATTAACCACAAGATAGAGGTAGGTGTAAGGCTAGCTTATGGTTAAAATACTCCAATCTACTGGCCAAACCAGGGGACATCCTGATTTAACAACAAGCATTTTTATTAGATCTAAACTTGGTCTGTGAGCCTGCTTAGGCCTATAGATGCGAGGGGAGAGTCAAGTGTTGCCTCCACAAAATTACTCTGCTCCCCCTAAATGTTACATTGGCTTAACCCCCACTCCCTGCAAGGCCTCTCCCTGTGTTTCTGGTTTCCTCTGAAATTACTAGTGCTCCCTAGTGGGCCTCGTAGCAGGAGCTTGGTTAATAAAGGGGGGGGGCGCGGAATGACACAAGCAGATTATGTAGATAGTAGCAGGAACTGGATAGCCTGGAAGAAATATCCAGAAGTAATTTCGATCTGACCTGATGAGTTGACACGACCACCAGAGACTCTAGCAAGTGAAAACTAGTTCTTATCTGCTGTCAAGGTAAAAGTGTTCATGCAGGTGGAAGGAATCTTCTTGAAGAACAAATATGCACATGTTATGATATAACATTGCTTGGCTATTCATTACATGAACATTAGTTACATGAATACATATACTGGAAATGTATATGTTCTCCTCTTGTTTCTATCCAAGTGCCTTACTCCTTTCTAGACCAATGCCCAATGATAATCATTTTTTAAAAATAGAATAAAGGTGCATCCATGAACATTCTCCAGCTTGTTGGTGGTTTTATTTGACTATTTCCCCTTAAGTTATTTATAAAAATAATAAAGGAATACAAAATCTAAAAATCAAACTTCTTTATTATATTTGTTGCCTTTACTCAACTTATTCATGACTAATCCAAAAACTAAACTAAATAAATGTCATATTTTCTACCACAGCCTGTAAAAAGTAAATTTTTCTATAGTCTCTTAGATTCAAGAACTCAAAGGTTATTTGGTCTTCACTTGTGCCCATGCAGAAATTCACCCTTACAGGATCCTGGATAGTGGCCATGTTGCCTCTACCTCATATCTTTAAAGAAAAAAGTATTCTAAGCATTCTGAGACAGTCCATTCCAATGCCCTCAGTAGTTCTTCCTTTCTTTGTTATTTGGGAAACAACCTGCTCCATCATCTGTTCTCAAAGACAGTCCTTGTAATAGTCAACGTTGTTGCCTGCCTCTGACATATTCCAGAGTCTTTTTAAGGTTTATGGGCCGCTTCCAAAGCTAAAATCTCTCACCTTCATTTTCAGAATCGCAGCGCATAGAACACAGAACACTCTTTGTGTAAAAGGAAATATCTTTAGCTGCCTTTGGAAGGAAAGTATTATATCTATAACAAATATTGTGTTGCATGTTCCCAAGGATTAGAAATGGTAGTCTTTCATCAAATAAAAAATGAGTCCTGGGGTACTTTTGAGGCTTAAATGTTACCAGATTTATTGGGCTATAAATTTTTATGAACCACTGCTCTGCCTCACCAGGTACATGCGTTTTATATTCCATAGCAAGTTTTACAAATTCTTACACTCTGTAGGGAAGACCCTCCAAACAGTAATGTCAATACCAGGCTCAAAGGCATGTAATACAAATAGCGGAACTGCTAACGATTGTTGGCAACGCATCTTCGCTGCGACTTTTTCTTTTTTTATGGCAAGCTGTATAACTCAGTTCCTGAGCATCCACATTTCCATCAAATATACAGTAAAATATTTTAGATGCAGAGAAGAGGATCAACAGCTTGACAGAAAAGATGGCCATGCAGATAAAGGAGAAATTATCACTTTCTAAAATTTTATGACTAAAATTTCATAGACACAGAAATGGATAAAAGTGTATTTTTCTTAGACCAGCTTACTCCAACTTGTTACCCTTCACATGTGTTTGACTTTAACTCTCAGGTTTTTAGCATTTCTTTTGGTTGTATGTGTGGCAGTGCTATAGCACTGCCACGCATACAACCAAAAGTATGGATCCGGTATGTAGATGACACCTTTGTTATAATAA